AAAATAAAGGCCCCTGAAAGAAGTCTGCATCCTAATTCCTGGAACGTGTGAACACGTTACCTGGTATGGCAAAAGGGACTTTGCAGATGGGATTAAAGGTCTAATTTAAGAGGGGTGGGTAGTATCTTCGGTTACCAGGGGTCCCAATGTAATCAGTGAGCCCTCTGCATGGAGGAAAGGGGTCCAAGCCGAGGAGCGTAGAGAAGTGGGCGGTCTAGCAGAAGCTGCACAGAGGGTTCTCTGTTGTCGATTGGCAGCGAAAGGGCAGCACAGAAACATCTCTAGTCATGCAGAATTGGCACATATTTCCTTGTGTTATACTGAAAGCAACGAATGAAAGAGAACACCGATGAACTTTTACACTGGGGGTCAATTTAGGATGATTCATCCTATGGTTCAGTAAAGAGCCAGAAAGATGTAATGAGGGAAAATAGGAAATTGTGAGAACAACTTGGCTCACTTTCATAATCCAGGAAAACAAGATCATTCTGACCTAAATTAACTTTGGCCCTAACATTTCATTATGATTTGAGCTATTCACTGAAATTAACTGGTAAATGGCACAGTTATTAACTATTTTTAGAAAGTCACAGTGTGATCATGACTCAGGGACAAAGTGAACCAGAAAACGGATGTCATCGGCAGACAGCCCAGGGGTCTGAGGGCCGATACATACTGAAACAGGACAGAGAAAAACTCCAAGGGGAACTTTCTTTTAAGGTTGCAAATGTGGCCTTTCTCTTTTCAAGATAAGCTCACACTGGGAAAAATCTGAGCACGCAGAGGGTATGGCTGCTTCCTATTGCTCTTTCTGGTATATTTGTACTGCAGGGACTGAACATGAGTGACATTTAACATAGGTCATTGAAGGATACCAGGAAAATCCCCTTTTAATTATTAAGTAACACCCTGGGCATATTTAAACCACTGCTTGTGTGTTTGATTTCCCCCTTTGGGTGCAAATGGTCACTTGCTTTGCTCGCTACTGGATAAAGATAGGGGATAAAGTCTAAACTTTCAATGAGCTCTGGCATTAAGAGAAAAAACCTGCCTCTGCATTAATAAGCAGCTGAGAGCTTCTGTGTGGTCAGAGAATTTTTAAGTTAGTAGGAAGTGTAAGCAAGACTTCTTTATTTTACTGGCCATTCCAATTTAGATCAATGCATATGTACTCTGGCCAGGCACTGTGGAGCTTTTGGATAGAAATTAAGTAAGATCCAGTCCTTGATCTGAGGGAATCTAAATATAGTGGGGGGGGGCAGAAGTGCTATCTGTTACAATGAGGTAAGGGCTATGTTAGATGTCTCAGAGTTTTTAGCTCCAAGCAATAGTAAATGATTTTGGCTAATATAAATCAAAAAACAGTACATCAAACTGCAGTTCCACAACTGCTGGGAAGGCTGGAGAATTAGGCAGAAAGCTTGGGAAGCCAGAGCAGCTGCCCAAATACTGTAAAGCTACTGGATAAATTAGTTGTTTCTGCTAAGCTCTAGAAACCACAGTTCATATGAGCATCACCCAAGGTCTGGGACTGGACTCTGCATGGCCGAGACTGCCACATCCAGAGCAGGACACTGTTTGCACAGCTGCCTCTGTTCACCTTGATACTGGGCTCTCTTCTGTATCTGCTTGTTTGTGTGGCCAGTTCCTAATTCCAGGTCCCTGAGAGTTGTGTCTGGTTGACCATTCTAAGTGCTTTCCTTCTCCCTTATCTACCAGGCTGGCCTGACAGTGAGTCACTGGCACTTCAGCTTCCATGCTGATTGTCGCCATTAGAGTGCAGCTGGGTAAAGCAGATTTTTAACTCACAACTTAGTACATTACAGTCTCTTTTAGCTTAAATGATCTTTTGGGTGAGTCCTTTTTAATTCTCAGTCTTTCATTTTCTCCCCCTCCTTGCCTGGTTTCTCTCCAAGTTGGTATCTGAGTATAAGGTGGGACAATGCCATGCCAGTATGGTGTGGGGAGAGAAGGGCGTCTGAAGCCCATGTGATGCCATCGGGGCCCCGGCTGGTCCCCAGCCGTGGAGGAGTCTAGTTTGATTCTGGTGCTGGACCAGTGTGCCTTTCTGGAACATCGTGCATGAGTGCCATCCATTGTGTATGATTTCCATCATTTTCTACGGGGTCGTGAAGGCACAGTGTAGCCTCTTTGCCCTAACCCTTGGCATCGGCAGGTCCACTGGCCCTCTCAGCACCTTCGAATTCCCACACAGGTGGGTGTGGGAGTCTCCCAGCTGGGGCAACGGTGAAGTCTGAGTGGCTGAACACAGAGGCCCTGCTCCCCATAGATCTCACTCTTCAGCACCTGCAGTGTGTTTTGCTGAAGCCCCCATACAGCTCCATTCAAACTCTGGCTTTCTTCTCCTAATGTACTGGGGCGGAGGGGACTGGCTTTCTGTACCCCTTTTATGTCTGTCAGGAATTAACTGATGCCCCTATTTTAGTTATTGTTTAGGCATAATAAATCTCGTGGTTGCAAATCATCATGATTTCAGGGGAGAAATGAACAGTGTCAACCTAGCCAGACAACTGTATAAATCAGTACAAGAAATGTGTAAGGGGCAAGGAAAGGGTCAAAAAAGACTTCTTTAAGGACGTAACCTGGCACCATGTGTTGAGGATGAACCCATGACCCATTTTAGATATCTTAGATTATACTCACATAGGCCAGCTAAGTGGCTAGGAGTCCTCATCATATCACAGAGAAGAGTTGGGAGGACTGTCCAGACAGCAGCCATTTACACCAGCCTGTCTTCAAGTCTGAGGGTCCACAGGAGTCTTGTTTTGAGTCAGCAATGTCTAGAAGGCTTGCTTCTTCTCGGTGGCTGGTGGCTTGAAGGCACAGCTGGGTGATTGAGGCCCTGGAGAAGCCCGTACAAGCCAAGGCCTGAGGAACCAACTGTGGGGAGATTTCCCTTGGCTGGCACGGGGCAGGGGTGGGGAGGTGCCGGAGGGGCTGGTGGGGGAAGATCAGTGATTAAACTATTTAAAGGAGTGCAAAGGGCAGAGTTTTCACATCAGAGCCAGGAGGCTAGATAAAAGGGGAAGGAAACCAGAAATGCTGGAGCTGGTGATCAAAAAATCATGGGCAAGGTCAAGGACAGTTCTCCAAGATGCAGCTGAGGTACTGAGGGCCATTCACTGAGAGGCAGAACTGGTGAAACAATTTGTACTGATCCCTGAGAACATTCATTTCAGGTGCTTTCAGGTTCAACTGATAGATTTAATACTTTACTTTTCTGCAAATAAAGGTTGTGGAGGCCTTCTCACACTGTGCCACAGGGGGATTGTGGTAACGGTATTCCAAGAGTTTTTAAAGTGCAAATATTTTCTGAGACAGATAAAGGTTGCATTAGGTATTAAAATCCAGCTTAGAGTTAATATCTCTGTTATTGGATCCATTGTTCATCCTCACTAACCCTACATGTAAATTACTGAGTTAGTGAGTTGGGAATAAAATAAGGTCTTGCCTTCAGATAAGAAGGCATCGTTGCCATGTGAACACACATATACACACAACAGGGTCCAAGGTATGAAATCTGTTATAAAAGGACTAGGTAAAATATTACAGAATTTATTAGGAGGGAGGGAATAATTCAGAGCAGGGCCAGAGTGAGGAAGGCTTCATAGAGAAGAGTGTTTATTCATTAAGCATCGATAGACATGAAAGAGCTGAACACTTAAAGACAGGCAAAAAAATGTTCTGGGAGAAGAAGCAGCATGGAGAACAAAAACCTGTAGGGTTTGTAGAAATGGAGATCATTTGTTTTCGAAAGGAATGTCAGTGATGGAAGAGCGCATTATTAGGTTCTAGTAAGGAGACTGAGGGTCCCGTGACAAAGGAGAATGGAGTGGTGCTGTTTGGAGTGGCGCGTGACCCCAGGGGGCGCATTACCGGGGCTCTGGGTAGATCATGTAGGTTGGGCAGCAGGAAGCCCGACTAGTATCGGGAGGTGGCAAGTAGGGAGGGAGGAGAGAACGTACACAAGAGGGAAATAAATGCCTCCTTTGTCATTATCCTGGTACCTCCTTACTGTAGCTGAATCCTCCCATTACATTTTTGGGCCCATCCCAAGCTGAGACCTTGTCTGTCCGATGCGTCTTCTGGGCTGTGTCTAACAGCAAATGAAAGGCTAGAGACAGATCTGATCTGACGAAATGGAAGAAACACTTTTCTTAGTTTTTGTTTCTTTGTTTTAAATACTCTGTGTTCTTGATGTTGCAAAGAAGTGAAACAATTATTGCACCTTTCATTTTATGCGTGTTTTAAAATTTACTTTTCCCCCTCCAAATGCATTTTTCTTAAATTTTGAGCAATCAGAAACAACCCTGGATTATAAAGAAGGAAAATACAAAATGAAGAAATGTCAAGGAAAGTGGAAGGAAATGTCAACAAGCGTTCTGTATTGCTCACATTTTTCAAAGGCAGGTTTTCAAAAAATCCAGGGCCTTTTGGAAGATGAAGGATAAAAGTTCTCCATTGTGTCTGTCGCTCCACTGACAGCAACCGTGCTGATGATGTGGGAGGTTTTTAGTCCTCACCTGGGAAGGCCTCATTCACCTGCCCTAGGCTGGCAGCCATCCTCCGCTCTGAATCACTGCAGTAGAATCTGGTAGGGCTGGTTCCACGGCTGCGCGAGGATTTGCAGGCAGGCATGAAGATTTTTTAGTTCTTGTCAACACTGAGGGTGTCTTTTTACTTCTTTGCAAATATCAAATCACTTCTGTTTCCTTTTATAGAAATAGGTCCATATTTATCAATTGTTCTTAGACATACCCACCTGTGATACATATGTATTTACTAATTGCTTTGCTTTTCCTTGTACTTACTCTTTCTTGCTAGGGTGAAACTGTAGACATCCACCCTCTTCTCTTGGTTTCAGGAAAGGAGTATGAATTGTGGGTGTTGTAGTTCTTGTGCCCGGGAGGGTTCCTGGTTGGGCAGCCTGGAGCTGTACTGGGAGGACTTCTAGTCCCAGGTGGCTTGGTAAACTGCAGTTTGGGTGCTGCAGACAGAGCAAGACACGTTTGGAGAGAGTCCTTGGTTTTCCTAGAGTGACTTCCATTCACTGACATAATGTTCCTGAACTGAAGAGGCTTGAGTTCATTTCCACAATTGTAAGTGTTGTTTTTAAAAATTAATATTTTCTTCACTACTGATATGTGTTCCACATAGGACATTGTGTGATTTCCAGAATAACTGAGGAAACTAAATGCTTCTTCCTTTCTCCCCAAGCTCTGCTTGAAAAGGAAAAAGGGAAGGTAATTGATATTCTATGTTGGTGGGACATGGTTTAAAATAAACTTGGATACATGGAATAGATTAATATTTGGGACATGTTATAAAATAATTTATAAAAAGAGGAGGAAGACATGCAACATTCAAAATCAAATGTAAAGGAAAAACACTTTGATTTGCTTCAAATATGTGGATGGTTGAAATCCTCTGAAAATTTTAAACATTTCAGAAGACAGCCAAGTGTGTTGAGAAGACTGCGGGCATTGAAGTCAGAGGAAGTTGGATTCAGTGGCCCCACCACTTTAAGTAGGTGACCTTTGAAAAGATGCTTCACCTGGTTGAACCTCAGATTCCTCATTTGTAAAAGTGGTATAAAACCTACTTCACTGGGTTACTAGAGTGAAACCAGCATAGTGCATTGCACCAAATAGACGTTTAGACAGTAACTGATGGAGGATAAACTTGGCTTCTTCCTAAATAAGTTTCAGTGGCATTTCAGAAACAGAATTAAGAGACAAAAACAGTGTATGATTCCACTACACGAGATAGCTAAAGTAGTCAAATTCCTAGGAACGCAAAGTAGAAATGAAATGGTGGTAGCCTGTGAGTGGGGGAAGGGAAAATAAGAGATGTTTAATGGCTATAGAGTTTCAGTTTTGCAATTTGAAAATATTCTGGAGTTTGGTTGCACAACATTGTAAATACACTTAACACCATTAAATTGTACACTTGTAAATGGTTAGATGCTAAGTTTTATGTTATGTATTTTTCACTATAATTTTTAAAAAGAAGACCAAAAAAAACTTAATGAAAATGCTGGTGTCTCCCATTTATGAAGGTATCTCTGACTCCTTAAAAATTGCTCAAGTCCATTTCCAATGGACCTAATTTCAGATTGAAATTGGATTACCTGTGTTCATGTGTAGTTTTAACATAAAAATAGTTAGTTGTGATTATGATGTATTTCCGGTTTATTCTTAGTCTTGACCTTGAATGACGGGTCAAGACTAAGAATATAGTCTTGGTCTTTGTGGTAATCCTTTTTATACTTTTCATAACTTAATTTTGTGATTATCTATGATTGATACTAGTTATCTTAGTATGATTTCATGGGTACTGTAAAGATATAGCAATTGTGAAGTCCTGATTAGTAGTTAAAACTTGAAAAGTTGAGATATGACCAAATATATTATTTATTCTGGTTTTCTCACATTCTCTGTAGCTTATTTTTTTTATTTTTAAAGATTTTATTTATTTATTTTTTTAGAGAGAGGGGAAAGGAGGAGAAAGAGAGAGAGAGAGAGGGAAACATCAATGTGTGGTTGCCTCTTGTGCACCCCCTACTGGGGACCTGTCCTGCAACCCAGGCATGTGCCCTGACTGGGAATTGAACTGGTGACCCTTGGGTTTACAGGTCCATGCTCAATCCACTGAGCTAACCCAGCCAGGGCCCTTTAGCTTATTTATAAATAGCTCATTTTTGTGTTGGTGATTTCAAAATAATATAGAGTATTAAGATAGGACCTGTTAAATACCATCTTATCTTAAAATGCATTAGGTAGTCTGGAAGACAAAAGACAATTTAGGGTTTTATTTATTTTAATCATGAAAGCATGTCATTATTGACTTTCTGGAAAATATTTTCTTAAAAAACAATTCATATGCCTGGCTGTCTATTAAAACTAAGTAACCTTTATGGTATTTGGTTACAGAAACCAAATGCCATAAACTTTGAAAACAAAGTTTTGCATATGATCTATTTAAATGAACATATTTAAAAGGCAACTCTCTGAGGAGCTATGTCAACAAGTCCAGGGAAGCATGAGAATGAACACACAGGGGAGGGAAAGCTGCAGAAGCACTTGATCAATATGGTTCTCTATCTGAAGGGGAAGCCCTGGGCTTGCTGTTGAATGTCCTACATGGTGTAGTCTCTCTAGGATGTGTCATTTATTCATTTAACAGTTTCCTTTAGTAATCCTACAATGTTCTTCCCCTTGACTTGGGGTTAAAGAGTGACTGAGTCACATGTAGTCCTTAAGGGTATCCCGGTCCACTAGAAAAGATACATACTCATAAAAAACCTAAAGGGAGGAAGTAGTAATCTGTGCATCACTCATGCCTTTCCTGGCATTACTGTTGGTTAATTCCCACTCCTTAGATGATATGCTCAATGTCATGGGATTAAAAGAAGCCTCCATAAATCTTCACTTGAACTGTAATAATTGGAGACCAGAAAAAGATAAATTTGAAAGCTTGTGTATGAGTCACTCAAAAGCAGAGTGAAGTAACTCCCCAAAACATGGAAGAAATATGTACCCAGCATTTCAGAGGAAGGGGAGGTCATGGTGTGTAAATATCTAGAAGACACTCTGGAAAATTACAGAGATTGAGCCAGGCCTGGAAGGATGTGCAGAGTTGAAATCGAGAGAAAACAATACAGAAAATATCTCCTCTGGAGCGATGCTTCCCAAAAATTTTACAGATGAAATGATTTTATGCAATATTAATAAAATCAACAACTGAGTTGCACAATGAGAAAGTTATATTTTTCATTCTACTTCTTAATTTTTCAAGGACATAGATGTATTGTTGTTCATATGACTTTAAAAGTTTTCTAACACACGTTTAATCCTCTTCGTAACTATAGAATTGTAACAAGCTCAATGATTTTAGCAGGCAAAACTTATTTAGTTGTAACTTAATAACTTTTAGAAAAACATTTTTTATTATAGTCATTGCCTATTTCTGTAATAGATACTGGTTTTTCCATTTATGTTACTGATAGAAATTTTCTATTAAAAGACTTATCTGAGCTAAAATGTGAAGGAATTTACAGAAAATAGTAAGTAAACATTAGTCTGGTACTTGGTAAGAGAAATATCATGAAGTGTTACCAGAAGGCCTGAAGTTTGGAAACCGTCAAAGTAGAGGCAATGTCAAGTACAGAAATTAGGAAGTGAAACTGAATAGGCTGTCTTTATGTACAGCTGGAAAGAAGGGGGGCACTGGTATTCTGTGGAGGGTGTCCTGGGGGCTTTGGATGATGGTGCTGGGATAAGGTTAAGACTGTGGAAGTTTAAAGGGATTCTGACTTCACCTTCCCCATGGTGGGGTTTCAAATGGGTCCCCACCCGGGGACAACATGTGAAGAGTTGTGCTTTAGGAAGATCATCCAAGGATTGGTCTGTAGGTAGGTTGGAGCACAAGGAGTGTGAATGTGGAGAGGGCACTTTGGAAATAGGCTTTCATAATCTGATCATGAATAAGTAACAGGTGCTAGGAATGAAAATGGAAGAGAGGGATGAGGAAGACCTTCAGTAAAAAAGAAAATATGATGATGATGATGATAAAAAATGACAGACAAGATGATCTTGAGTGTTTAAGCTTGGTGGCTTGAGAGAATGACAGGGACACTGAAGCAAAAGAGAGGGAGCTAGTTCTTGTGGGGGCAGATGTTCCTTTAACTTCGGGCAATTTGAAATGGCCTGATGGGCTGACCTTCCAGTGGAAAGGGAAACTGCACTGTTAATCATGTGGGATTGGAGTTAGCGAGAGAAATGCAGACCATGGGCACCTGATTAAAGGGCAGCGTAGTTCTGCTCTTCCCTCGGCCCATTCTAGGAGGAATGCTGAAGGAAGAGAGTGTCCAGGATCTACGGATAGCAAGGGCAAGGAAGAGCAGGTTGACTATTTCCTCCCAAGATTTTACTTTTCCTTTGGGAAGTTCTCTCTTCACTACTGTAGCTCCCACCTTAGTCAGTGGTGAAACATCTTTATAGGGTCCTTCCTCAGATTAAGCAAAAACATTTTTATTTCTATCCAGAATAGCCACCAGGTAGAATTTCCAGGAAGGGTAGAGGGGGCTTTGTGTCTTCTATTTCCACTGGGAAAAGCACTGAATCTAAATGGTTTTCCAAATAATACAATACACAGTAGATAGATATTTAAAGATAGAAAAATACCACAAGACTAGTGTGCTCACCTTCCAGCTTAACAAGTAAAATGTGCAAATTTTTAGATTTTTAAAATTGTTTATGGTATTAACATTTTGTCCCCATTTCTTCTAGAAATTTATTTAAGTGAAGAGCTCCCCTCATCCTGTTCTCCCCCTTTCACTTCAGTGGTTACTGCTATCCTCTCTTTGTAGATTTGCTCTTCTTTGTGTGTTTTTATTCTTTTATCTGTTTTTATTTTTGTCTTAGTCTTTCCATTGCAATCACCACACTGTTGTCCCTGCCTGCGAGTCCTTCACAATTGCCAAGATATGGAAGCAGCCCAAGTGTCCATCTGTAGATGAGTGGATAAAACAACTATGGGACAGTTATACAAGGAATACTCAGCTATAAAAAAAGAAGAAAATTTTTGGAGAACATTATGCTAAGTGAAATAAGCCAGTCAGAGAAAGACAAAAACCTGTGTAAACTTAATTCTAAACCTTCAGGCTAACGTGGTAGGAGGAGCCTCCTTACCCTTTGCTGACAACAACAAAGAAAACAGCAGGTCTCCAGCACAGGAAGCAGCCCCTGCTCGCAGGCATTCTCTTTGTGGAGGATTTTGATAAACTGAAAGTTCAGTAAAAAAAATATTACTTGACCTTGACTGTCAAGAATCAGGCATCATTTTCCAGATGTAAAGTGTTGGAATGTAGTTTTATGTTATGTCCGTAATCCAACCTATTTTTCTGTATTCTCCTGGGAAAAGAAAGCATGTTTGTCACAGGTCACCTACTTACTGAAAAATTTAGACAATTGTTCTGTCCCTGGTGTTTTATTCAAGTTACCAGAGGTCGATGTCACAAATGAGCTAGTTGATGACTTGGAAAGTGCATTGCACATCAACTAGGATTCAGACACAGTTGTTTCAGGATTTTAGGGCT